CGCCGGAGGAGGAGAGTTAGTAGCTGTCTTTCGTTGGTGTTTGCTCCTATGTATTACCTGCTGTTGTTTTATGCCTTTTATTCTACATGTTGTAGTTGTACTGTGAATTGTGTCCTGTGTCCTGTGTCCTGTGTCCTGTGTCCTGTGTCCTGTGTCCTGTGTCCTGTGTCCTGTGTCCTGTGTCCTGTGTCCTGTGTCCTGTGTACTGTGTCCTGTGTCCTGTGTCCTGTGTCCTGTGTCCTGTGTACTGTGTCCTGTGTACTGTGTCCTGTGTCCTGTGTCCTGTGTCCTGTGTCCTGTAAAGCACTTTGTACATCCGTGTTGAGAAGGGTGCTATATAAATAAAGTTTTACTTACTTACTTGTAAATAAAACTTTAAAATGAATTCAAAGTAAATATATACGTGGTAATGAACACAGTTCTGTCCGTCAGACATAGAGCTGTGTCTCTATAGAGCTGTGTCTCCATAGAGCTGTGTCTCTATGGAGACACAGCTCTATGGAGACACAGCTCTATAGAGGCACAGCTCTATAGAGACACAGCTCTATAGAGGCACAGCTCTATAGAGACACAGCTCTATGGAGACACAGCTCTATGGAGACACAGCTCTATAGAGGCACAGCTCTATAGAGACACAGCTCTATAGAGACACAGCTCTATAGAGGCACAGCTCTATGGAGACACAGCTCTATGGAGACACAGCTCTATAGAGGCACAGCTCTATAGAGACACAGCTCTATGGAGACACAGCTCTATGGAGACACAGCTCTATAGAGACACAGCTCTATGGAGGCACAGCTCTATGGAGACACAGCTCTATAGAGACACAGCTCTATGGAGGCACAGCTCTATAGAGACACAGCTCTATGGAGGCACAGCTCTATGGAGACACAGCTCTATGGAGACACAGCTCTATGGAGGCACAGCTCTATGGAGGCACAGCTCTATGGAGACACAGCTCTATGGAGACACAGCTCTATGGAGACACAGCTCTATGGAGACACAGCTCTATGGAGACACAGCTCTATGGAGGCACAGCTCTATGGAGACACAGCTCTATGGAGACACAGCTCTATGGAGACACAGCTCTATGGAGGCACAGCTCTATGGAGACACAGCTCTATGGAGACAGCTCTATAGAGACACAGCTCTATGGAGGCACAGCTCTATGGAGGCACAGCTCTATGGAGACACAGCTCTATGGAGACACAGCTCTATGGAGGCACAGCTCTATGGAGACACAGCTCTATGGAGACACAGCTCTATAGAGACACAGCTCTATAGAGCTGTGTCTCTATAGAGCTGTGCCTCCTGAGAGGATTTCTAATTTCTCTAACCGCCTGCTTCTTCCCCTCCTCGACTCCTCTCTCCTCCGCTCGCATTTCCTGTGGGCGGGACTAAGACACGAGGATAGGAGTCGAGGAGGGGAATTCGAGAAATGAGAAAGCAGCTGTCTCACCTCCTTCACACAGACAGACAGACAGCACCTGTCTCACCTCCTTCACACAGACACACAGACAGCACCTGTCTCACCTCCTTCACACAGACACACAGACAGCACCTGTCTCACCTCCTTCACACAGACACACAGACAGCACCTGTCTCACCTCCTTCACACAGACACACAGACAGCACCTGTCTCACCTCCTTCACACAGACAGACAGACAGCACCTGTCTCACCTCCTTCACACAGACACACAGACAGCACCTGTCTCACCTCCTTCACACAGACACACAGACAGCACCTGTCTCACCTCCTTCACACAGACACACAGACAGCACCTGTCTCACCTCCTTCACACAGACCCAGATGATGTAGCAGGAGGTGATCTTGACGATGTGCAGTTCCAGGATCCACCAGAGGAGGCGCTGCAGACTCTGAAGAGACAGCAGGAGGTGCAGCAGGAGGACAGAGAGACGGTCCATCACCAGCCTCCAGGAGACCAGACCTGAGGGACAGACAGGTGAGACAGGTGAGACAGGTGAGGACAGACAGGTGAGGACAGACAGGTGAAGACACTTACTTTTGATCTGCTGAGACAGGGTTTCCTTCTCAAACACACAGGGGTACTCTTCCTCCTCCTCTTCCTCCTCCTCTTCCTCCTCCACCTGTATCCACTTCTTCTTCTCCTCCTCTCTCTCACCTGTCTCTCTCTCACCTGTCTCTCTCTCCTGCAGGATCTGAGGTGCTCCCCCCCCCAGCGAGAGAGACAGGTCGAACAGGCTGCCCTCAGAGTGCACTAGCCTGCAGACAGACAGGTACAGAGAGACAGGTTTAGAGAGACAGACAGGTTCAGAGAGACAGGTACAGAGAGACAGGTTTAGAGAGACAGACAGGTACAGAGAGACAGGTACAGAGAGACAGGTTTAGAGAGACAGGTACAGAGAGACAGGTTTAGAGAGACAGGTACAGAGAGACAGGTTTAGAGAGACAGACAGGTTCAGAGAGACAGATACAGAGAGACAGGTACAGAGAGACAGACAGGTACAGAGAGACAGGTACAGAGAGACAGGTTTAGAGAGACAGGTACAGAGAGACAGGTTCAGAGAGACAGGTACAGAGAGACAGGTTCAGAGAGACAGGTACAGAGAGACAGACAGGTACAGAGAGACAGACAGGTACAGAGAGACAGGTTCAGAGAGACAGGTACAGAGAGACAGGTTCAGAGAGACAGGTACAGAGAGACAGGTACAGAGAGACAGACAGGTACAGAGAGACAGGTTTAGAGAGACAGGTACAGAGAGACAGGTACAGAGAGACAGACAGGTACAGAGAGACAGGTACAGAGAGACAGGTTTAGAGAGACAGACAGGTTCAGAGAGACAGATACAGAGAGACAGGTTTAGAGAGACAGGTACAGAGAGACAGATACAGACAGACAGGTTCAGAGAGACAGATACAGAGAGACAGGTTTAGAGAGACAGGTACAGAGAGACAGGTACAGAGAGACAGGTACAGAGAGACAGGTACAGAGAGACAGACAGGTTCAGAGAGACAGATACAGAGAGACAGGTTTAGAGAGACAGGTACAGAGAGACAGGTACAGAGAGACAGGTACAGAGAGACAGACAGGTTTAGAGAGACAGACAGGTTCAGAGAGACAGGTTTAGAGAGACAGACAGGTTCAGAGAGACAGGTACAGAGAGACAGGTTTAGAGAGACAGACAGGTTCAGAGAGACAGATACAGAGAGACAGGTTTAGAGAGACAGGTACAGAGAGACAGGTACAGAGAGACAGACAGGTACAGAGAGACAGACAGGTACAGAGAGACAGGTACAGAGAGACAGACAGGTACAGAGAGACAGGTACAGAGAGACAGGTTTAGAGAGACAGACAGGTACAGAGAGACAGGTTTAGAGAGACAGACAGGTACAGAGAGACAGGTACAGAGAGACAGACAGGTACAGAGAGACAGGTACAGAGAGACAGACAGGTACAGAGAGACAGGTTTAGAGAGACAGACAGGTACAGAGAGACAGGTTTAGAGAGACAGACAGGTTCAGAGAGACAGGTACAGAGAGACAGGTTTAGAGAGACAGGTACAGAGAGACAGGTACAGAGAGACAGACAGGTACAGAGAGACAGACAGGTACAGAGAGACAGGTACAGAGAGACAGACAGGTACAGAGAGACAGGTACAGAGAGACAGGTTTAGAGAGACAGGTACAGAGAGACAGGTTTAGAGAGACAGGTACAGAGAGACAGGTACAGAGAGACAGACAGGTACAGAGAGACAGGTTCAGAGAGACAGGTACAGAGAGACAGGTTCAGAGAGACAGGTACAGAGAGACAGGTTTAGAGAGACAGGTACAGAGAGACAGGTACAGAGAGACAGACAGGTACAGAGAGACAGGTACAGAGAGACAGACAGGTACAGACAGACAGGTTCAGAGAGACAGATACAGAGAGACAGGTTTAGAGAGACAGGTACAGAGAGACAGATACAGACAGACAGGTTCAGAGAGACAGATACAGAGAGACAGGTTTAGAGAGACAGGTACAGAGAGACAGGTACAGAGAGACAGACAGGTTTAGAGAGACAGGTACAGAGAGACAGACAGGTTTAGAGAGACAGGTTCAGAGAGACAGGTTTAGAGAGACAGGTACAGAGAGACAGGTACAGAGAGACAGACAGGTTTAGAGAGACAGGTTCAGAGAGACAGGTTTAGAGAGACAGGTACAGAGAGACAGGTACAGAGAGACAGACAGGTTCAGAGAGACAGGTTTAGAGAGACAGGTACAGAGAGACAGGTACAGAGAGACAGGTACAGAGAGACAGACAGGTTCAGAGAGACAGGTTTAGAGAGACAGGTACAGAGAGACAGGTACAGAGAGACAGACAGGTTCAGAGAGACAGGTTTAGAGAGACAGACAGGTTCAGAGAGACAGGTTTAGAGAGACAGGTACAGAGAGACAGGTACAGAGAGACAGACAGGTTCAGAGAGACAGGTTTAGAGAGACAGGTTTAGAGAGACAGGTACAGAGAGACAGGTACAGAGAGACAGGTACAGAGAGACAGACAGGTACAGAGAGACAGGTACAGAGAGACAGGTACAGAGAGACAGGTTCAGAGAGACAGACAGGTTCAGAGAGACAGGTTTAGAGAGACAGGTTTAGAGAGACAGGTACAGAGAGACAGGTACAGAGAGACAGGTACAGAGAGACAGACAGGTACAGAGAGACAGGTACAGAGAGACAGGTTCAGAGAGACAGACAGGTTCAGAGAGACAGACAGGTTCAGAGAGACAGGTACAGAGAGACAGACAGGTTCAGAGAGACAGACAGGTTCAGAGAGACAGGTACAGAGAGACAGGTACAGAGAGACAGACAGGTTCAGAGAGACAGACAGGTACAGAGACAGACAGGTTCAGAGAGACAGGTACAGAGAGACAGACAGGTACAGAGAGACAGACAGGTACAGAGACAGACAGGTTCAGAGAGACAGGTACAGAGTGACAGACAGGTTTAGAGAGACAGACAGGTTCAGAGAGACAGGTACAGAGAGACAGGTTTAGAGAGACAGACAGGGTTTAGAGAGACAGACAGGTTCAGAGAGACAGACAGGTTCAGAGAGACAGACAGGTTCAGAGAGACAGGTTTAGAGAGACAGACAGGTACAGAGACAGACAGGTTTTAGAGAGCCGACAGGTCCAGAGAGACAGACAGATACAGGGGGCAGAGAGACAGGACAGGTTCAGAGAGAGACAGACAGGTTCAGAGAGACAGGTTTAGAGAGACAGACAGGTACAGTGACAGACAGGTTCAGAGAGACAGACAGGTTTAGAGAGACAGACAGGTTCAGAGAGACAGGTACAGAGAGACAGGTTTAGAGAGACAGACAGGTTCAGAGAGACAGACAGGTTCAGAGAGACAGGTTTAGAGAGACAGACAGGTTCAGAGAGACAGACAGGTACAGAGACAGACAGGACAGGTACAGAGAGACAGACAGGTACAGAGACAGACAGGTACAGAGACAGACAGGTACAGAGAGACAGACAGGTACAGAAGGTACAGAAGACAGGTTCAGAGAGACAGACAGGTACAGAGACAGACAGGTTTAGAGAGACAGACAGGTACAGAGACAGACAGGTTTAGAGAGACAGACAGGTACAGAGAGACAGACAGGTACAGAGAGACAGACAGGTTCAGAGAGACAGGTACAGAGAGACAGGTACAGAGAGACAGACAGGTTTAGAGAGACAGACAGGTTCAGAGAGACAGACAGGTTCAGAGAGACAGACAGGTTCAGAGAGACAGGTTTAGAGAGACAGACAGGTACAGAGAGACAGACAGGTACAGAGAGACAGACAGGTTCAGAGAGACAGGTTTAGAGAGACAGACAGGTTCAGAGAGACAGACAGGTTCAGAGAGACAGGTTTAGAGAGACAGACAGGTACAGAGAGACAGACAGGTTCAGAGAGACAGACAGGTTCAGAGAGACAGACAGGTTCAGAGACAGACAGGTTTAGAGAGACAGACAGGTACAGAGACAGACAGGTTTAGAGAGACAGACAGGTACAGAGAGACAGACAGGTTCAGAGAGACAGACAGGTTCAGAGAGACAGACAGGTACAGAGAGACAGACAGGTTCAGAGAGACAGGTTTAGAGAGACAGACAGGTACAGAGACAGACAGGTTCAGAGAGACAGACAGGTTTAGAGAGACAGACAGGTTCAGAGAGACAGGTACAGAGAGACAGGTTTAGAGAGACAGACAGGTTCAGACAGACAGGTTCAGAGAGACAGGTTTAGAGAGACAGACAGGTTTAGAGAGACAGACAGGTACAGAGACAGACAGGTTTAGAGAGACAGACAGGTACAGAGACAGACAGGTTTAGAGAGACAGACAGGTACAGAGAGACAGACAGGTACAGAGACAGACAGGTTCAGAGAGACAGACAGGTACAGAGACAGACAGGTTTAGAGAGACAGACAGGTACAGAGACAGACAGGTTTAGAGAGACAGACAGGTACAGAGAGACAGACAGGTACAGAGAGACAGACAGGTTCAGAGAGACAGACAGGTACAGAGAGACAGACAGGTTTAGAGAGACAGACAGGTACAGAGAGACAGACAGGTTTAGAGAGACAGACAGGTACAGAGAGACAGACAGGTTCAGAGAGACAGACAGGTTCAGAGAGACAGGTTTAGAGAGACAGACAGGTACAGAGAGACAGACAGGTACAGAGAGACAGACAGGTTCAGAGAGACAGGTTTAGAGAGACAGACAGGTTCAGAGAGACAGGTTTAGAGAGACAGACAGGTTTAGAGAGACAGACAGGTACAGAGAGACAGACAGGTACAGAGAGACAGACAGGTTCAGAGAGACAGGTTTACAGAGACAGACAGGTACAGAGAGACAGACAGGTACAGAGAGACAGACAGGTACAGAGAGACAGACAGGTACAGAGACAGACAGGTTCAGAGAGACAGACAGGTGTTTGTGTGTGTGTGTTTGTGTGTGTGTGTGTGTGTGTGTGTGTGTGTGTGTGTGTGTGTGTGTGTGTGTGTGTGTGTGTGTGTGTGTGTGTGTGTGTGTGTGTGTGTGTGTGTGTGTGTGTGTGTGTGTGTGTGTGTGTGTGTGTGTGTGTGTGTACCTGGTGATGGTGCTGTTGTGTGTGTCCACCACAGTCTTCAGGTCTGTGAGCTGCAGGAAGGGCTCGTGGAAGTAATGCAGGTGAACGATACACACCTGTGGAACAGAGACAGAGAGATCACCTGTAAACACGAGGGCTCTGTTAGAACCTTCAGAACCTTCAGAACCTTCAGAAGGAGAGACAGTACCAGCAGGAAGGCAGCCGGGATGAAGATCCTGGTGAAGAGAACCGGAACAGAGAACTTCTCCAGCCCGATGTCCTCCAACCTGCAGACAGAGAACCATCACCTGTTACCTGTTCACCTGTTACCTGTTCACCTGTTCACCTGTTACCTGTTACCTGTTACCTGTTCACCTGTTCACCTGTTACCTGTTCACCTGTTACCTGTTACCTGTTACCTGTTACCTGTTCACCTGTTACCTGTTACCTGTTACCTGTTACCTGTTCACCTGTTCACCTGTTCACCTGTTACCTGTTACCTGTTACCTGTTCACCTGTTACCTGTTCACCTGTTACCTGTTCACCTGTTACCTGTTGTTGTAACCCAGGTTATTAAACTGTTGATTTATATATTACCAGAGGTTCCCTGAACGCCTCACTGACGCAGCTCCTCAAAGTGCAGCAGCTCACTCAAGCTAGCAGGGTATAAAGATTGAGAAAAGTTGTTTTAAATGATAAATGTACTGTTTATTGCCCAGAGGAGACGACCAGGCTAACAAGAAGCCACTGCCAGGCTAACAAGAAGCCACTGCCAGGCTAACAAGAAGCCACTGCCAGGCTAACAAGAAGCCACTACCAGGCTAACAAGAAGCCACTACCAGGCTAACAAGAAAGCCACGACCAGGCTAACAAGAAGCCACTGCCAGGCTAACAAGAAAGCCACTAGCCAGGCTAACAAGAAGCCACTGCCAGGCTAACAAGAAGCCACTACCAGGCTAACAAGAAGCCACTACCAGGCTAACAAGAAGCCACTACCAGGCTAACAAGAAGCCACTACCAGGCTAACAAGAAGCCACTACCAGGCTAACAAGAAGCCACTACCAGGCTAACAAGAAGCCACTTCCAGGCTAACAAGAAGCCACTGCCAGGCTAACAAGAAGCCACTACCAGGCTAACAAGAAGCCACTACCAGGCTAACAAGAAGCCACTACCAGGCTAACAAGAAGCCACTACCAGGCTAACAAGAAGCCACTGCCAGGCTAACAAGAAGCCACTGCCAGGCTAACAAGAAGCCACTGCCAGGCTAACAAGAAGCCACTACCAGGCTAACAAGAAGCCACTGCCAGGCTAACAAGAAGCCACTGCCAGGCTAACAAGAAGCCACTACCAGGCTAACAAGAAGCCACTGCCAGGCTAACAAGAAGCCACTGCCAGGCTAACAAGAAGCCACTGCCAGTCTGAATGGTGGGGTCTGTAACCACTGGCAACACATCCAACCTCCAACCAATGCTGTCTCGTATGCCACCTTTGTGTTCAGGGAAGCAGCATGCCGAGCGAGAGAGTGGGTTCAGTTCAGCAGGTGAGACCCTACGCTGTGAAAGGGCCCGTTGGATCCAGAGAGAGGGTTCAGTTCAGCAGGTGAGACCCTACGCTGTGAAAGGGCCCGTTTGGATCCAGAGAGAGGGTTCAGTTCAGCAGGTGAGACCCTACGCTGTGAAAGAGCCCGTTTGGATCCAGAGAGAGGGTTCAGTTCAGCAGGTGAGACCCTACGCTGTGAAAGAGCCCGTTTGGATCCAGAGAGAGGGTTCAGTTCAGCAGGTGAGACCCTACGCTGTGAAAGGGCCCGTTTGGATCCAGAGAGAGGGTTCAGTTCAGCAGGTGAGACCCTACGCTGTGAAAGAGCCCGTTTGGATCCGTGTCAGCTAGTGCAGCCGGGACATGCAGCCGCATGTCCCGAAGAAACAGCCCCACGAGGTAGAAGTCGGGTTCCTCCATACCTAGCAGGTCGTGCATCGTCTCCTCGTAGTAGGAAGGCTTGCTGCCTTCCAGTGCCGAGACGAAGCGGGAATGGTGAGCGACGTCCTCAGCCATTCCGTGGGGCGCACCGAGCCTCAGTCTGTGAGCACGTGGCAGCCACGGACGTCTCCAAAAATCTCCGGCATTTCGAGAAAAGCAGAGTCTGCTTTTTGCCGTGTTCGGTCCAGTCCCGGATCCTTCGCGAGACTTATGTCAGGGTCACCAATGTAGTGCCGAGAGAAGGGAGTCGGAGGCGGTGCATCGAAGGTGCAAATCTGTACTTTAATGAGCAGCAGAAATGCACATGCTGTCGGGTCGCAGCCCGAGAAGAGAAGAGAAAGCGAAAGGGACACACACACAGTAGGTACCCCGGAGGTACAGTCAACATATATGTCCGTGCGGAAACAATACCCCCAACCTGTAGTTCCTGGATTGAATTATGTAACCCCGTTAATTAGTGATCACTACAATATCAATGATATTGCAGAATCAGTTTTCTTCATAGATAACGTGTTTTTCATTGTTTGTTCTAAAAGGTCCAAGTCCCACACTTGAATGTAATATGAATTTGACATGTTAACGACATCATAAAGCGCTGCATGGGAGTAATTGCAGGATGATTCCTTTGTTCTCTTATGCAACATGAAAGTATCACGATATGTATCGGTTGAGTATCGGTGTCGTTCAGTGGTATCGGTATCGGTATCGTAAAAAAGTAAACGATATGCAACCCTACGCTAAACGGCTAGGCTATTAGCGGCTAAGCTAATGCGACTATGCTAAATGTGGCTATGCTAAATGTGGCTATGCTAAATGTGGTGCGCTGTGTTGCCACTGTAAACCCGCGAAAGCATTGAAAGCTAATGTGCATTTATTTGAAACTGTTTGTATGAGACATGAAGAGGGAAAGAGACCTTTTTGTTCATCAATTGTTAACTTATTCACTTTTATATGGGTTTTGTGTTGTTGATACAGATGTCATTATTGTATAGAATAGAATAGAATTGTAGTATAGTGTAGTATAGTGTAATAGTTTAGGTTTTTAGTCAGATTGTAACTGTTCTGCACACATATATATACTAGGGCATGGGTCGGCAACAGGCGGCCCGCGGGCCATTGTTGGCCCGCCAGCAATAATATTTGGCCCGTCATTTTGAGAATAAAAAATAAAAAAATATTTTGAGATTTTTTTTTTTTTTTTTTACAACATCGGACCGACAGTCGCACATATACTGTGTAGGCTATAATGTCTGAATAGAGAATCTACCTACACCTGAAGAATGCTTATTGTACTTTTATCCATGTTGAGAATGAATGACATACAGCACAGGCACAATCAGGCAGCGGGGTGCACTGACGCTGATAGTGGATCAATAGGTGGACAGCGCGTGGTGCTGAAATAGCCAACATTCGGTGTGTGGTTTGAAAAAAATAACACCAGCTCACTAAATCATTCAAACATAATGTTTACTTATATGTGAACAGTAACAAAGTTCAGTCAAAACATTGACAACAAAATTGGAGAAGCCACTTGATCATGGAGGGCGAGGAGTGGTGGTGCATATGCTCCTGACACGACAGAGCACGCTACATTAGGGATAATAATTACAATGAGCCATTAATTCAAAAATATAAAAAATATAATTAGGCTATTAAATACAATTACGACAGGCTTGGTACTCACTTAATGTGAAAACTGACATCTCCCATCGGTCGCTATTTTTTGGATATCTGGTGATATGGACGTCACTTTAATCCGCAGGCAGTTCTCAAGGTTTTTATGCGTCAATCGATTCCTCTCGTGCGTCTTTATCGCATTCATTGAAGAAAAGGACGACTCGCATGTATAGGTGGAAGGGAACATTGTGAGCACATAAAATGTGAGTCTCTTGATCGTGCTATATTCCTCTGAGCTTCCCACCCAAAAGGCACTCACAGACTCCGCACTTCTGAGCGCATCGCTGACCAGGGAGCTTGTTTGAAAATCAATTAGCTCCATTTCTAATGCAGCCTCGTCTAAGGAGGGGATCATTTGTTTCGCCTGGGAGGTGAAGTCTCCACTTGGTCGGACTGTGAGAGGATCGCGTACAAAGGCAATGATGTCTTTTGGGATGGAGTAGTCCTCAAACCTTGACGTGAAGTTGGCCCGTAGCTGCTTGATGAAGTCCACCATAAGCTCTGTCACTTGTCCCAGTGCCTGTGATTTTAGTGTACTGAAATGGAGGAGCCTGCCAGTGGATATGTCTGACTCGAACAACTCCAGCTTCCTCGTGAAGGATTCAAGCTTTTCAACCATGTCCACTATGGTTTTGCCTCTCCCCTGTAGCTGCAGGTTAAGCTGGTTTAGGTGGCCAAATATATCCGCTAAAAATGCTACATTGGACATGAACTTTTCGTCTCCCAGAAGGGCAAGGTGGTCAGCTGCTGCCCTAATCTTGCTCAATCTAAGAAACGCCTTGACCTCATCCAGTAGCGCACAGAAGCGGTCCAACGCTTTCCCTTTGCTCAACCAGCGCACGTCATTGTGAAGCAGCAGGTCATCGTGGGTGGCCTCTTCTGACTCAGCCACAAGTTGTCGGAAAAGCCGATGCTGGGGGCTTGATGTACCCCTGACAAAATTAATGACACGCATCACTTTGTCCATAACTTCCTTTAGCTCACCACTGAGTTTGGCGCAAAGGACACTCTGGTGGATGAGACAGTGCAGTCCATGCATTTGGGGGGCGTGCTCCTTCAACCTGCTTACCAGACCTCTGTGCTTTCCCACCATAGCAGGAGCCCCGTCTGTCACGATTAGGTTAACCCTCTCAAATGACAATGAATGCAGCCTAAACAACTCTTCCAGTTTTGTAAATATAACGTCCCCAGTGGTGTGCCCTTCTAATGGAATAAGAGACAGCAGCTCTTCCCTGAACTCCTTTCCATCAAAATATCTAACATAGACGTACAACTGGGCTACATCTGTACTGTCAGTGCTCTCGTCAATGGCTAAGGAAAAGTAATTGGCTTGACTGAGACCCTTGATGATTACCCCCTGCACAGCGTCCGACAGTGCTTCTATGCGGCGTATAGCGGACCTCGCAGAGAGGGACACTTGTTTCACTGACGCAATGACACCATCCATGGACTTGTCGGTGGCCAGTTCCTCCAAAACAGTCACCATCACCTCCTTGAAAACCTCTGCGTCAGTGAATGGCCGGTTATGCTTTGCGAGCACCCACGACGCCTTTAGGGACGCGGTTGTCACTTTCTGCTGGGCTGTGAGGCCTCGCACCAGGATCCTGCTGCTGTGCGCATAACCTGCTGTCAT